TGAGTGCCGCGGGGACAGGGCGGCCGGGCGGTGGGACTTATTACGCACGAGGTCCTCAGCAGCCGCCCGCCCTGGAAACTTGGCCTCGGGCGGCCTGGTAGCAGGAGCCGGGTGTTTGTCTTGGAGAAAGAGAGACGTGATTTCTGTCTGTAAGTATGTGAGGGGGAGTCACACGGAGGCGGAGGAATGCGTCCTACTTAGCGCAGTTGCCAGGAGGCACCGTATGGACGATTTGGACAAAAAAAAGAGGAAAGTGACCAAAAAGCAGACTTTTAAGCAGGAGGGAAAAATGAGCAAAGGATATGAAAAAGGGTGTTAAAGTGTATGTACACACACACACACACACACACACACACACACACGTATATGCACATATCCGTATGCTAGAGGCCCGGTGCACAAATTTGTGCACCAGTGGGGTCCCTTGGCCTGGCCTGGGGGATCGGGCTGAAACCGTCTGGCTCTCTGACATCCCCCGAGGGGTCCCAGATGTGAGAGGGCGCAGGCCAGGCCAAGGGACCCCACCGGTGTACGATCGGGGCAGGGGAGGGACCGCAGGAGGGCTCAGGGCGTGTCCGGCCCGTCTCGCTCAGTCCCAATTGGCAGGACCCCAGCAGAAGCTCACCTACCAGTCGGAGCGTCTGCCCCCTGGTGGTCAGTGCACATCATAGCGTGTGGTTGAGTGGCCTTAGCATATCATTAGCATATTATGCTTTGATTGGTTGACTGGACGACCGGACACTTAGCATATTAGGCTTTTATTATATAGGATGTGTGTGTACGCACACACATGCATGGAGACACGTATGTGCACAGGCACACACACATACATGTGTGTGCACACCCACACCACACATATATGTGCTTGTATGTACACACATGGTACACATGTGTAAAATGTGCACGCACTACGCCTTTGGGGAAAATTCAGTCTCCTGTTACTCATAACTGCAAATTGAAATAATCGGATACTGTCTCCTCTCACCTACCAAATAGCAAAAAGTGAAAAAGACACAATACACAGCGTTGGTGAGATTCAGAAAAACGGACACACTTACGTCCGTCCTGCTGGTGGGAAGACACACCAGCACAGGCCTTCTGTACAACAGCTCTACTGTGTGTATTCAGCGCCTTAAGCTGTGCCTTTCTGAACGTACAGAAATTCCACTGGTAGGGATTCATTCTAAGGAGAACCCTGAATTCATCTAGACTTCAGGGAGAGAGAACGTACAGTTAAAAGTAGCCTGGCCCGGCCGGCGTGGCTCAGTGGTTGAGCGTCGACCGATGAACCAGGAGGTCACGGTTCGATTCCCGGTCGGGGCCCAGGCCCGGGTTGCGGGCTCCATCCCCAGTGTGGGTTGTGTTTTCTCTCTCTCGCTCCTTCTCCCTTTTTCTCTGAAATCAGTAAAAACGTATTTACAAAATAGCCTGGAACTTCTATCCCATGGAACACGGGGCAGCCGTGAAGCGAGCTTGCTTCAGGGGGCACGTAGGAATGAGGCGCAAAGTACCAGGAAGTTTTAAAACAGCAGCAGGTTATGCAACATAAACACAAGATGCCGATCTTATTTTTATAATATGCTAGAGGCCCGGTGCACGAAATTTGTTCGGGAGGGGGGGCGAGGTTCCTCAGCCCGGCCTGCACCCTCTCCAATCCAGGACCGCTGGCTCCTAACTGCTCTCCTGCCTGCCTGCCTGATCGCCCCTAACCACTCTGCCTGCCTGCCTGGTGCCCCTAACTGCTCT